AGATTCGGTCACCAATGAATATAATTTTCTTAGGTGTTTTTTTTTTTTTAAATTATTTTTTTATTTCGTTTATCACATCTAGAGAAACACAGGAAAAAAAAAAGCAAAAAAATATCATATCAAACGTTAGCCATGACCTACAATTCGCCATACGCGGCATGTCGTTCCGTCTTTTGTTCGAATTATCAAAGTTGCAAAAAAAAACCAGAATCAGAATTTGAAACTTTGTTCATATGTATATGATTGAGTTGAGTTGTGCGTTGCAAGAAATGCATTTTTTTTTTTTTTGAAATATCTTTCGGGCGTAAGTAATCTCTAGTCGTATATTGATTCGAGATTCTAATCTATTTCATCTAATTTCACGTGAAAATTATCTAATTTATTTTACGTGTGGTTGAGTAGACGGACGAAATGCGAATCGAAAAGCTTTGCCAGAATATATGCATTTTTCGAATCTTGTTTACTATAATATTTTTAGAGCGTATTTCATTCATAAATAACTTTTTCAACAGCATTGTAATTACGTAATAAACTAGCTGACAGGGCTCAAGTTTAATTGATTTATTATTTTGATTTGTTTTCATTAACAAGCAAGTCGTGAATTGTGGAATTATTGCTGAAATGAATGAATGAATGAATTTATAAAGGAACGAAAGTTTTCTGTTTGCGTTTGCGTTTATGCTTGCGATTGTGTTTGTGTTTGTATTCGCTATTCATTGCATGCATGCATACGCAAACTGAAAGAAGAAGAAGAAGAAGAAAAAAAAAAACTATGATTGAACTTATGATACAATAATTTTTATATTAATATAAACATAAACACACATTATTTATAAATAACTGAAAGAACGATCGATGAAATAACTAATAAATTATGGAACGTAAGAGAAAATTTTATTTAAAAATTTACCGATTTAATAAAATATATCTATGTATAGGTATATATATATATAATACGCTTCTGGCATATCTCATACTCAATAGCTTCAAACTTCTCAGTTCACCATTTGTTGCGACTAAAAGTGTACCCAAACTATTAGTGTGGTGGTAGTGGCGGTAAGAACCGTAAACCAAGGTCAACCTTTAGATAGGCCACATGCGGAATTTCATGCCACTCCCATGAAGTTAGTTAGTACTTAGTTGAGAGCGGTAGAAAGTAGCAAAGGAAAACCTTTGCTAATTCACTTTATTTGACAAAAAAAAAAAAACTAAACTCCTTGTTATGGTTAAACGTGATTTTTTGAAAGAGAAAAAATTTCAATACAAATACAAAAAAAAAAAAAAACAAAGTCTCGGTAAACATTGTAAAGAATATATAATTCATCAGACACAAAATGTTGTGTCCAGAGATAATGGGGCTTAATATCGAATAAATTCGATTGGTGTCGATTATCGATTCGCTGTAACGCGTTGTCAGTCCGCATATGTCGATAAGGTAAGCAGTTCTCTTACTTCCTTCGATCGTAAAATTGTTTTCGTGTAGTATATGCATATTACGATCGAGTTTAGGCGATATCGATAACTGTAAACCGATCCCCAGGCTTAACTTTGAGGTTAATTTGACTTTAAGGTGACTTTAAGGTTACTTTGAAAGCCCTTACGGACTACGTATATGAATTGCTTCTACAATCATCATATTCTGTATCGTATTCGCCTTCTTTCTACAAAATCTCAAAACATATGTCTGGTGTCTGGTAAGCCTTTTTGCATTGCATGAAAAACTCGAATATTAAGACATCGTGACACTGCCGAATGCCTGATAAATTATATCATTTGGGAAGCCTTGAAAATTGTCATCTTTTCCTTATCGACATATTACAAAGCGGCTATGCATGAGTTTGGTCATGAATATGCCGTTCTTGTATGGTTCCCGCTTCTATGTGTGATGTTGATTCACAGGATGATGTTGTTTAACAGGAATAGTGGCTCTTCATTTGTATTGCGATTATTTGATCTTCTTTTAATCAGCTGATGAAAAACTTCAGCTTCAATCTTCCCAATCATTCTTCTAGAAAGTTTATTTTTATATAATCGAATATAACTATGAGGATCTGTTGATGCTGCTTTATATCTATGACTTAACCTCAATATCGGGCTTTCTAAATACTATGATATGAACTCATGCATGTCTTTGCCTATATCGTATTTAAATTAAGTTTTAATCTTCAAAGTTTCGTATAATTGTATCAAATATGTCTTGCATGGTGGCATTAAGTTTCAGAGGTCCAATGCCAGGCTAGCGTCTATACTAACATGTAGACATGTCTCTGTGCTTGATGTCGTGTACATGCCTTTGTTTTTCATCTTTTTCTCTGAATTGTTTATTTCTACATAGATATTGTTCTTCTTTTTTATTCTTTATTCTTTATCTATTTTTCATACTTGAAAAATTAAAGTAAAGTAAACTAATGTTTAGTATAAGAATGTTTTTTAAAAGTCAACTTAGTTTGACTATTATTTTAATGCAGCTGTAAATAAATAAATAAATAAATAAGTCAATCATACATATATATGTTACATGAATTGTGTCTTGTGAGCAAAGTGTAAGGAGATATATATCATTGACAGCACTGCATGTCATTCTGTCCTAAATTGGAAAAATATGCAATTGAAGTGACGGATCTGATTAAGTTGGCTTGATGGGGAACGCAGTAAGAGGGAATTGTGGAAAGTGCTTTACAAATTCGCATACGTCCGTCTGTCGCCAGCAAAAGCATGCTGAATATGAACTGATTTTAACTTGAGCTGGGCGCTTATCTCTCGAATGCGAAGAATTCTTCAGACCTCTCTCTCTCTCTCTTTCTCTCTCTTTCTCTCTCTTATTCCGATTAACACTGGTTCAAATCGATGCAGCGTCATATTTAGCAGGAGCAGCAAGTTCTACCGCGAGATTTCTCGCAAAGCGTTGAATTAAAAATTTTGCGAATTTTAAGAACGTAATTTAGAGAAACTCGAGTAATAAGAAAAAAATTTGCGATAAAATTTGTTTTTCGGGGCAAAGTTTTCCGTTGATCGTAATCGTAGCTTTCATAGATAGTCAAACAATCGTCATCTATTTCACTATATCCCCGTTGTATGTCCATTAAAAATGGTATCATGAACTTCCTGGCCCATCCTATCGCAAACTTTTAACAAGTTTAATACAGTCAAGTCGTTTGTTAAGCAATTTCCATGTAACGTGGCAGGTCTACTCCGTCTCTCGTGCAGAGACCTTTTAACGACTCTAATTACTTGAAAAATGTATCTACGGTTCGACTTATTTGATATGTTCAATTTCTATTGCTAACATATATGGATTCTTTCCTACTCGAGTTGTCGGGGAATGTCTGCAAAAACGAGTGAACATCAAAATATTGCTTTCCTAAGATTCTACATAAAATGGTACAACCACCACATTCAATTTGCATTAATTCACGGCTTCCATAAAAAACGCCAATGTTTTCCGCACAACGTGATTTGTCCGATTTGTGTTAGCCCAGACATTCACAGAACATATTTCGAGACATGAATTAGTTCCAAGTTTCCATACAACGCGGTATAAATAAATCGTTTCATAGTGGACTTCGGGACAGACATTTGATATTATTTTTATAGTTTCGAATCTCTTCTCATCAAACGATATACGATAAACGAGTTATTCCATTGATATGTTCCGATAAGATTTAATATTCGTTATCGTTGGGAGGGACAACTAATCGAGATCGAGTTAACTAAGACAGAAGATAAGTAAGCATAAAATATCTTACGATAAATATCTTCAGCACAATATCATGCGAAAATTCCATTACATGAGAGATTTTTATTTTTTTTTTTTTTTGCTCAATTATCGAACATATGTATGGCGATGAAAATTTACCGAAGACTTAAACATACTTCAAGATCCATGAAATTTAATTAAGACTTATTTTGAAAACAGATGAAACAGTTAGATAGAACAGGTATTATCGCCGCATTACGACAGTTTTTTTTTTTTTTTTGTTTAACACAGAAAACAGAAAACTCACAAAGAGATATGCGTTGTGCCAGACGAGAATGTTGTAAACGGATGATTCGAGCCTTGGAGATGCCTTATGCTCTAATTGCCGTGACTGAATTGAAGCAATCAATAAAAAAGCGTGACATTCGCTCACAAATTTATACATTTTTCAATACATTTTTTGACGGATGAGGCTCTTATATGAAATGGTGTCCAAATAGTTCCCGATAATTGTTGAAAGCATATAATGAAATTTTAAAATTGCCATCAATGACTGAATCAAAGGTTATTTCTTAATCGATGCAACGCGATCGATAAATGACAGTTGAATTTATTCAAGGATTTATTTCGAGTTTTTTAGCATAGAATTATTAGAGTAACTCTACAAATGAATCCTGACTGGTAATCAGTTAAGTTATGGTAGTTTTTTCTCTCTATGAGCATTTGGAAAAACTATAACTTCTCTATGGGAAGGTACTACGTTTAAGTTTTACGCATCGATACGAAGCAATGGGCTGAAGTGAGCCGAGAAACGGACGAAATAGACTTTAAAGCATGACGATGTTTGGTTCCACATAGAAAAGACCGCCCAGCGAACGTTAGCAACACTGAAATTTGTTGTATTTGTCGGGTACTACAACTTCTGGTTAGCCCTGGTCTCAATCGACGGCCTATTGCCTAGCCGAGAAGGACTTCGATTTTCATAACGAGATTTAAAAAATGGCTCCTATGGGAATAAACTTAAAAGACTACTATACTAAAACACAATACTTTTGATATAATATTTTGTATATAGATAGAAACATTCTTATTCACAAAAAAAAAAAAAAAAAAAAAAAAGAAAAAGAAGACGTTCCAGATTAATAGCTAAATAGGTAAAGGTATCATCTATTCATGCAATTAAATGATATATGTATATATATATATATATTATATATATATATATAAATAATAATAAATATATATATATAAGAAATAAATAAATAAATATATATATATATATATATATATATATATGACTCACCTTACACAAATTTAATAGATCGTAAAGATCTTCAACTTCATCGTTATCGGTAGGCACATAATGTTTACCACGCTGTGTACTTTGTCCTTTCGTTTCGCGACGATATAGGGGTAAATTCATAGCTTCGGCTAAAATTTCGATCCCCATATGGCCAACTGTTTGATACATAAAACTGTCAAGTTCATCTGACAAAACAAATAGAAAAAGGAAAGAAATTTAAAATATATATCTAGAAATAATAAAATATATAAAGAATATCGGATTTGATTATTATATAACTTTGCACAAGATTTTGAATAAAGTTAAGCGAGAATTTTTTTGCCTTCGTCGACTGTTCATACGCTAGTCTTTGTTCTTTCTTTCGCTTACCTCTGTCTTTTGGGTGTAAATTGGCTAAAGCTACAATTTCATGACCTTCGGCTACACATTGCATCATATTGTAGCAGCTATCCTTGCCACCACTAACCATAGCCACAACACGCATTTTGGCGACAACGTTTGTCGTTACTTGACGTTGAATAATCAAAATTCCGTTTCAACGATAAACTTATAATTTTTATATATGTGCCACACAGCTCTTCAAAAGCGTCTCATTGTTATTGTTTGATACTAAAATTAATAATTAAATATGAAAATTGAAAATTTTTTTATATTTCATTGCATTATAAAAGAAGAATTAGGTTTAAAAATATTAATGTAAAAATAAATTAAAAAACAAGAACATTACAGTCGGGCAAGGCCGACTGCCTCCATATCCACTTTGCCTAACACAATTATTCATTCATTCATTCATTTATTCATTTTCGTGATATTACATCAAAAATGATGATGTCTTGCTTCCATATCAAGGCATACTTTTCATAAGAAACCTTACCTGAGAGTGAGTCAAAAAAGTGAACTGATAGGATACGAAATTTTGGTACAAAAAATTTATTTTCTTATTACAAATTTCTTTTCATTATTTTTCATCTATTTTCGTTAGATATTGTCGCCATATATAGGCTTAGAACCTTTTCAGGAGATTTCTTATATATGGCGATATCCAAAAAATGTATCTATGTAGTTCAAATTTGGTACAGTCAACTTTTATGCCCAATTGCTATTGTAGACCAATTTTCTTCAGGAAATATTAAAACTTATATCCTTTTGGTATGTGAAGGTTTAGTCCTACGCAGGAAATTCAAAAAATTACATCTCCCAATCAAAATTTGGCTAAATGCCACTGTTTAGCGGTTTTTCTTACTCCAATTTTTCCCACGAAACGATTACTTAAAAATAAGACGTTATATGTGCAGTGATCGCTGAAGGGCTCTCATCCAATCCACTGTCAACAGTGTGTGTTTGGTCTTGTGCCAAGACAAGGCAGTTCAGTCAAAATATGTCGATCTGTGGATTGACTACCAAAGTATATGGGTAAACTTCACAGACAGACAGATAGATAGATAGACATGCAGGCTTAAATCAAGCATGAAATATGATTTTGAATAGATCGTTATAATGACAAGTCGGTTTGCCTTAACTTCTTCTGAGAGTTGCATATGTCCCGATACGATAGGCGAAGAGTAATAGAGATTAGGGTTCTGTAGAAAATATATATGCAATGAATTCTGAATGTGGATTATATCGTAACGAGTTTTCTGCTTTACTTGGCCGATTTCTAAAGACTTTCTTTTTTCGCTTCTTTATATGCTGGTGTGGGAAGTCTTATCCTTTTACGTCTGATAAGTGCAATTTACTTAGACCTTTCGGGCCAATTGCATGCATCATTATGTCAAAGTACTATATATATATATATATATATACTTGATGTTTTTTTTTACCAACTATATACACACGTCTGCACGATTATATCCCGAACTAATATTTGGAGGATAATTTTCGATTTGTAGAAAACTTTTAATGGTTCCTTGTGTTTACATCAACTCATTTTTTTTGGATTTTGCATTATATAGTTTTTTTGGTTCCTGCTTTGCGCCTGCTTTTACGTATCTCACGTTTTTGTACATATGCCAGGTTTCAGTTTTTCTACTCTCATTTTTGTATTTCATTTTGTATTAAGCGTTATAACAATAGGCTGAAGATAGATGGACGGATGGACAAGGTTAAATTTTGGTTCTCGAAAGCTTTTTAGTAGGCGTTATGTACACACATTCAAAATTGGAAATGTTTTTTTCGACAATCAGTCATTTCCTTATCGGACAGCTTGTTATTAAAGCGGGACTTAAAGCCAACGTTACAAGTAAATATATCAATTACTCTCGCTTTGAAGAGCGAGAAGAAGTCAACTTTAAGTGTAAACTTGCCTAAGAAATCGTTTACGTTGCTTCGCGATTCAAATTTAAAATTTTGATTTGAAAACGAATGACCATATTTCGAGCATTATCGCAGAGACATCACAAGTCACCGGGCATTGACTTGCGAGACTTAAATATTTTGTAATAGAATTGATTTTCGTATGACTGACTATTCTATCGGGATGGGGAAATTCATGCAAACTCAGAACAACAGAACGACAAGAGTACAGACATCGTTTTCTTTTACGATTAGTGATCGGTCACAATGCCATAAAATCGGTTTATCATCCGTACCTACAAACACACCTCTACAACAATTCTCTACAAATGAAAGTAAGTCGTTTCTACTAAAGTATAGCTGACATCTCAGATATTATATAATAGGATTTCATTACATCAGTTATGGTGTTTAGACATCAGTTCAAAGCAATAATGGACCTGATTGATCAAAATTAATAAAAAAGTTTGACTTCTTTATACAATTACTTTAAATTCGTCTCTACTTCAAAGTCATTTGTTACATTATGAATCCACCTCGGCTGGCCGGGTGATGAGAAGTGTTTTTGCTAGGCTAGCGCATAGTTGAAGCGAGAAGACTAGCGAGTGCCAAGTCGGTGGGCGCAGATTCGAATCTTACCTTACTTCGCAAGTAGCTATTTATAGATAGTATATCTAGACATTTATGTTTGCTTAACTGGGAAAATATTTTACACAGTTTACTTGAACTTTGTTGTTTGCTTGCGATTGATATTCTTTGCGATAATGTCATGGTGTGAGTTTTAGATTTAAGTTCGCTTATTAGTTAATTTTAGTTAGTATCTTAAGGCTAACAAGAATGCAAGAGAAAAACTATTTGCTTAGAACTGAAATTGTTTTCCTGCAATTTTGTTTTGCTATTGATCGATGATGATCTTCTTCATAATGTTGTAATTTAAGCCATTAATCTTGATAGTGTTGCTTCGCTTAGCTGAATTTATATTGTAGCCAGAACGCAAGAAATAAATGAAGAAACAAGTCGTGTAGAAGCCAAAGGAATAGGAAGCATAAGCTATACATTTTTCAACAATGTCGGTCCGTTCGTCCAGCTTAACTACAAATCAAATTTTGAAAATGAACAACAACCTTGACTGTTTAAAACATTGAAAAATGTAAGTGATCGTATCGTAGATGATTCATTATCTAACTTAACCTAAATTAAATGTAACTGTTTATCGTGTTTGCCGTGATCGATGAGTTTCCTATTCGGACTATTAATTACTAATAACATAACATGACTATAATTTTAAAAATAATATTGTAATTTGGAAATTTTCTTATACTGCATTAGAAGTGAAATGAATAACAAATATTTGCCCCCCAACGATATATATAAGAAATTTTCACTTTTTCACTTTACTCCATTTTTAGAATAAATTATCCATAGATCTCTAGGTATAAACTGAGTGAGTCTTAACAAAGCCAAAATAAAAGCAATAAATAGAAAATTGGCAAAGAATGTTAAACATTTCATAAATGGAACAGTCAACTGCTACAAAATGTATGCAAATATATCGAGATACGTATATATATTTACATACATATATATGTGACATACATCCATAAGCATTCCATGCATTTTCCATTTTATTTTTAAGCGTTGTTTGTCACTTTATCGTCGTCAGCGTTTTTAAAACAAGTACGAAGTTAATTAGAACTCATTTCTTCTCTCATTGCCTTCATATAGCCTTCATGACTGTTTCATTCAGGATTGTTTGTTATTTCCGTTGGCAAAGGACATAATGCCATCAATTGTTCGAATAACAAAAAAACATGAAAAGGTTAATACTGTTATTAAATTATTTGTATTATAGACTCGTTGTTCCCGTAAAAAAAAAAAAAACTCTTATATTGATTATGTAACAGATATCTTGTTACACGAACAGAATGTAACATAATTAACAAGAGGCGAACACTGTTCGCTTTCGAATCATCGTTATTCATGCATTAATGTTTATTCATTTTTTTCATTATATATGTATATATACATACATATACATTTTGCTACTAAACAAATAAGTTATAGAAAACAGTGTTTCAAAAATCTGTTTATCATTATCCTTCAACATGACGATATTGGATTTCACGCCCGAGAAATGTTCATAGCACTGACGTGAAATATATTTTCTAACATTTTATTTACTAAATTAGTTTCTTGTTTTAGGTCGACGTACGCCTCGATTTTAATTTGAAAAGTAAACTTAAATATATAGAAAACTATTCCAATGAAATTTTTCGATATTTTTTAAATTTCTTAATACAGCTCCGCAAGCTAGAGTTAAGATTCATTTGCGCGATGTATACGGCTTTTCAGTACGACTGACATGATTGCTGTTTACAAACTACTCCACTACTACACCACTTATGGGTGTAAGGGGATATTAATTTTGTACGGATTTGAGATATACCGAACTCTCATTATACCGATCTAAGTTTGTCTGTCTGCCTATCTGTCTTATGTTCAACCTATAGATTATGCTATCGAAAGTGGTTCATATCGGTCCATTTTTTGCGACCGCTACTCAAATAACATATACTTATTTTGAGAAGTCCATGACTATGGATGGTTTAGAGTATTTAATGGTGGGCCATGCCCCACTATAGTGTTTTTACTTGTTTAAAAACAAAAAATAGCCTAAGCAAGAACAATATTTTTTCTTTTTTTTACTAAATACACATAATTTAAATGATAGTTCAATTTCCACGACTCCTCTGGGGACCATTTTTGAACATCGTGTACACAAAATCTCATCTCATTTCACTACGAATGAGCGCTAGTTTTCAACAGATGTAAGCAATGTCTACCTTATTGCCATTGACTAACGATACCAAACAATCCCATAAAAAGTTCTCCAGTGATGTTAAATCATAGCTTCGTGGAGGTCATTCGATATCGTGATATTTTGGAAATCCTTCCATTATCAAATCACGACATAATAAAAGTATTTACTGTATGCTATATACTATGTAATATGTTGTTGAAATCGGATGTTGTTTAGGCCAACATTCATTTGACAAACAATTCTGTAAAATCAATGTGAAGCGTTCTCCGTTCACGTTAACCGATGGTTATCCACTGCTAGTTTCAAAGCAAAGCAGAGCGCGGACAACAATACCTGGTAAGTTTATGAAGACGTTCCCTTCATAATTTATGAATGAGTTTTATCTCAAGAATGATAATTTCGCTTATTCACTAACTCACAGCAGGACGAACATGACAGCCGTTAATAATTCGCAAATATGCAGGAAAAGTTACAACATGGAAATGATTCGATAAAAAATTTCGATAATTTTAAAACATGACCGCAATATCAAAAAGGTATCGTATCACTTCTATTGGAAAGTCCTATGTATATCTGAGCTATACATATGTCGTATCACAAATGTCGTACATATATGGTATACGATTACATTTAGATCATGTTTTTCTACAATTTATTAACATGAAGCCTCAAATCTCGAATCTCTGCTCTATGTATATCCGGTTGTTTAGAAAAAATTGAAAAGTAGAAGCCAAAGATTTTATAATTTTGAAATTACACAGTTGGCCAAAGTTGATGTTGACTTTTTATTTTTTTTATTTTGGTAATTATGGGCAGAACCATGTGAACCGCTTTTGCCATTCAATAAAATAACTAAAAATAATTTTGTTATACCGTACGCTACTTGTGGTGCAGAGTATATTAAGTTAGTTCGAAGGACATAGATGGGCTTAGGATAGATCCACATTTTATTCAGAATTATTTTCTGCCCGTCTGATGTCTGTCCCTCTAAGTTTGTGTTCAAGTTGTACATCGTAATTTTTAAGATATTTTAACGAAATTTAGTACACAGATGTACTTTGGCCCAACGACAATCGCTATTGAAAATGGTTCGAATCGATTCACTTATTCGACCACTCTCCATATAACGCCCTAATTTGAAATCAATTGCAAATCAACTTTGAACCGCCTGCCCCCTCCCCCCTTTCCCCCTCTATTCAACTGTGCCTACGGAAACTGTAGGTTTATAGGGTAAAAAGGTTAAATTTCAAATATTCGCTCATAATAGTAAATAGACAAAGAAATCTACCTTAGCGAATGTGGACCATGTGGGTCTATTTTTCTGGTACCACCGGTTGTAAAGATTCTCATGAAACGTAAATCCTTATATTCATAGTAATGGTTCAGCAAAAAAAAGAAAAATTATCGATAGGATATTTGGATCACATATGTCAATTTTCTTGGACCCCAACATTTATAGGCGCTATCACGAAACGCGAACTCTTATATGGAAAGAGAGAGAGAGAGAGAGAGAGAGACTTGATATTTGATCTTGCAATATGCGAATTTTCATAAAATTATGGTACCTTCTAGTGCATTATCGCCAAAACGAGTGAATATCTGTACTAGGCGAAGTGGTGCAGGGTATATAATAGTCGCCATTGGCGAACTATAATGTTCTTACTTGTTTTTTGACAAAAACTTTTGCAATCGTAATCTTTAACAGCTAAAGACTTTACTAAATTGAAACCGTATTCATATCGATTTTTGTGAATGCCACGATACGTATTACAAAGTCCACGTTCAACAAATATTACAGAAATTATCGAAGGGTATTCGCAGTTAATGTTATGCCGAACATATTTAAAGTCCTAAAGTAAAGAGATAAAATAGGCGAAGCTATTCCCTACTTAAGTTTAGTATTCCTTTACTTTTCCCCGTCTCCCTCATATTCTTTGCACTTTGGATTTTAAAAGAAATATTAAAGGGCGCTTGGGAACTTTGCCGAATTTTAAATTTAATTTTTCTGCATTCAGTCAATCGCGATAAGCTTCAAATACTAATCCTCTGAATATGTACCGAAAGGTTCTATATTTTCTAAAAACTGAGCTGATTTTAAGGCTAAGGAAAACAAGTGTGCGACTCTTAAATGGAGCGAAAACTTTAGATATCGAGAAATTGACAGACAAAAAAAGCTTATAAGATCGTCGAAGAGTCTCTTCTCGTCATTAAACAAAGGATTTGTCTCATCATATATAGTGTAACTGGTTATGAAAAGCGGTCTCGTTATAACTTAAGCATAATCGCAGATGCAATTGTCACTGAAGACAACCGTTTATTGCCAGTAAGACGAATGTCGATACTAAAGTGAAATACGGATGCATGTAAATTAATGTTCGTTGTTTGGTGATGTGTTAAGCTGTTGTTAAACATACTACAATAAAACAATCAATCAATCAATCAATCAATCGAAGCCGAAGGATGTAAACAGAAATAATGGAAAGGGAAATAGAAGGTAAAATATTTAATTTGTGTGAAAAGGACAATTCTTCTGTACATCACCACCATATGCTGCTAAACCAATGGAGAAAACATTTCAATCACTTGAACGCAAAATTTTGGCAAATTCACGCAAATACTTTGTGCTCTCTAGATGTTGGCATTTCTGACTGCAATGAATTTTAATCGATGCAATAAAGTCCGATTGAATCATGCTTCGCGTCTGTCTAAGAGTTTAAGCTCTTAAAAAATGAGCCTAACTTTCTTCAAGGAATACATATGTGATGCTCGAAGAACTGGATAAAGTGAAAAATAGCGACAGACAGCATCACATACAAACACATATGTTTTCATCATAAAGAAGCAATTTCTCATTTGACACAAATGCCATAAGTTGAAGAAGAGTAATTCTCGAGTTAAATTTTTAAAATTCTTACATTTTGGGGATGACTTCACTAGATAAATAAGGTACTAAACCGACTTTTTTTAAAGATTAAATAAAAATTTGACCAAAGTTTAAATAGAATATTTCTTTTATTTTAATTTAGTTTTTAGCCTGAACGTTGCAAAGCGTGGTATGATAAGGGAGGCTTATTGAAAACACACGCACACAAATACACACACACACACACACACACACACACACTCCTCTCTCATTTATTTTCTTATCTTCGTCTGTCTTTTAAGAACTTTAAAAAACAAATGTTCTAAATCAGTGGAAAGGAGACAATGAAGGTCAATCTTTAAAATTCGTTAGTCCAGCAACGATAACAGAATATTACGGCTATTAGTAGTAGCCATTGCCTATTAGTATTTATTGCAGAATTCTTGAACTTTTGAAAATTTTTTAAAGAATATTTCTTATATGTTGACCTACATTTACACAAACCACGAAATATGAAAAAACATCAGAGGATAATAAATAAAGTGTATATTGAACGCGTACAAGTAAATACATATACTTATGTATGGAAGTATATGTACATACTCAAGCATAAGTGTACGCGATAATGTGATATTCTTTCACTTTATTACTTAAATTAATTAAATCGAGTTGTTGTGTTAATTTCACTTTTTCAAATATATTAAAATAATTTTTTTGAACATTTCTTTTACCTTTAATGTTCCCCCACAACAACAAAAAAATGTACTTTCATTGTTACTGCTCGTAATATACGGCGCCGGCAGTATTTTGTGTCGTTTCACCTCTGTCACCGCTATTGCAAACGTCACCTTTCTTTTTCAATATATTTAAAAACTTTATTAAAAATTCGTTTAGGTCACTTGCACAAACATTCTAACTTTTTTCTCTTTTTTTTTGGCTCGTTGTTTCACTTATTTGCTTAGATTTAAGCTAAAAGTTATTTGAAATTTTCTTCAGATTAAATCGACAAGGATTTTTTTAAAATATCTTTTAATTTTTAAATAAACTCAACTTAAAAAGTATATAGAGAAACTATTAAAAAAATTATCTTTTTATTCATTTATTAACGCGACAAACTAACCGCATCTCTCTCACTTCATTACATATTCGAAAGAATAATTTCTTAGAATCACTTTATGCTCACTAAAAATGTATTCAACTTTCACTTTATTTATCACAGAATTTCTTGCCCACGTTTATTGCGTTTAACAATTTTTACCAAAATGTTTTGATTTACTAATAAAAAAAAGATCCCACTGACTCGATTTTCTTATAAGAATAACAGCTGCTTTAAGCTTATACGATTGGCAAATCGAAAATCTTGTGTTTCATATTCGTTCTGTCTCTTATTTACTTTATTTTTGTAAAAATATGAAATGCCTTCTATTGCTTGTTTCAGGAATGATATGAAAGTGGAAAAAACAGTAGTCAACGATACCAGCGATACTCTGAGGGAAAATTTTACTTGCCTGTACATTTCTTATGAAAGACATTTCTGAATTTTCGGACAGTAAAATTATTTCTGTTGTGCGTTCCTATGGAATCAGTTTTTTACTTTCTTGAGTGTAAAAGGCTTTTGTGGGTATTGTTGTTTTCTTGTTTTCTACTTTATTTTGCTTTGACATTTCATGCCATTTATTTAATGACACATACATAGTAGCGGTGGTTGCAGAGTTACCAAACTATGTTTCGACTAAAGACAATTGGAATATATTCGTAAGAGTGTAGTGGCTACGGAATGTCATGTTATTGTTTCATTTCATTGGTTCATGTCTACTTAGTTTCCATCCAATATTCCCACCAGATGCTTGGTTTATGTCCGAGATATCTCGTTAAAAATTTAAAAGGTATGTACACAGCAGTTTTTACATATTGAAAAACACAAGTAATTCCATAGTTGGACAAAACAATTTAGATGAGTTATGCAAAGTGACTGGGCGATGCAAAGAATTAAGCTATATGCATGTCCTATGTTACAACTATTTCAAATAGCACGAGGTATATAATTCGGTAATTTCTCAATAATTATGTTGATGAAAATAATATGGAGTATTAATTTTCCATTAGGACTTGATAATCAATAATATAGATAGCGATCATTAAGAAAGTTGTACTCGACGGCCTCGGGGCCGAGGCTCACATAGCCACCACTATTAAAACACTTGGCGTCCAGTACTACGTAAACTGAGAAAACCTCTGTTTTTCAAAAGGGCTAAGAAATTGGTTTTTTGCTCGTTACTCACGAACTATACCAGATAAATGTACAAAAATTTGTGCACATATTCCATGGGCGACGCTGTACAATTTGTCTACGAAAGTGGAAAAAATTGTTGTCGTCTACCTAATGCACAGTGGAGCAAAATTTAAATTTCTTTTTTAATGCCTTTATAACACGCAGAATGGAATGCACCTAAGCATGTCTGTCTGTTCGTCTATCTACATGTCGGTCTGCCCAACTGTGTGGTGTCTGTGGTGAAAGTACTCCCATTAGCGATAATGAAGATATCGCTTGGAAATATGCACAAGACTTTCGAAGTGAACCCGCTTTTGCGACAAAAAGTTTTATTTTGAAAATAGAAAAAATCAACCGCGCCCACTCCAGATCGCAGAGCATGGAAATTTAATTCCGTTACTCTTTTTTTCGTTTAAAGGATGTGGTGATTAAGGATTCGGTCACGGCCGAATATAATTTTCTGACTTCTTTTTAATTTATTCCACATTATCTCATTTCATTTTATCTCTTATTTTATTTTCCTATTATTTATTAACAATTATCCTCCCTTCAATGCCAGTAATGATGGGACTAGTTTCATTTGTATACTTCAGTAGAGCGTCTAGATCGGTTTGATGATGTCTAAAATGTGAAGGCAGAAGCAAAAGTACATTTTTTAAAAGTCACTTCTTATCGCACAGTAACTCTAATAAGTGAACTCACTGTATGTCGGTACTGTGATCGCGTATCATATGAAAGCCATCTCCACCATTTACTAAAAAGATTGGAGCAACAATTCTATAAGTTTTTGTTTTGTCAAACGGCTCATATTGGGGATAAGAACAAGCAGCACAACGGACTTGCAACTCTACAACACGCTGATATGGAGGCTTTTTAAGGTCATAGACAATTTTAAGACCCGATGTTTGCAGGAAAGCTTGAGAGGAAGTGATATTCTTGCTTAAATCCATTTTCTGTACAGCAAATTCTAATGCTTCCAATAGTATTGCACCGGGTAAATTGAAGGAAGTTAAAACATTTTCAAACGGTGACATGGTTATTATATGAGCATAAGTTAAGGCTGAAAAAGAAATGGAAAAATCTTTAGCATTCTTAAGGGCGTAGAAATTTATACTTACTTCCTTTAAGTAGGGGCACTCTTAAAGCTCCATTATTAACTAAGCCTATGGCCGCCGAAGTCCACGGCTCCTCGTTGTAAGGACTGATAGCGACAAGCTGTGAATAGTTTTCAAATATTATAATTTTATTCGCTTGATTTGTTTTTTTTTTTTTTTTTTCATTTATTCTTACCGAATGAATCATGGCATCGCAGAAAAAGTTACCTAAATTACATTCTCTCGAACTACATGGGTTTTTCAATAAATCGACTCTTGTCTCTCCGACTATTTCATTGCCTTTTAAATCAATGATGGCTTTCCAGGGTTTAATAGCTTCTAAAACGTCTGGATCTAAGAGAAAATTTGAAAATGTTAGATCAAAAAATTAACTATAGTAATTAATCTTAATCTACCTTCTGGTACCGAAGAGTGCATATATAGGGGGCCACCTTGATATTCAACCACATTACCGGCATTATCAAAATAGACTATCAAGTTACCAACGTAACGGGCGTAAGAGGCGGCTTGAACAATTAATACGCGTTGACCTGACGAATGAATTACTTCGGTGGGATATTTACCCTGGGCTTTAAGTGGACCCGGATCATCTGTTTTAGCACTGAGAAAAGTATGGGAATGTCCTCCTACGATGACATCCACTACAGAGCCAGCATGACGAGCTATTTCTTGATCCACATCATAACCGCAATGAGTGATAAGAATAATAATATCACAGCCTTGAGCTTTCAGTCTGAGGCCTTCTTCTAAAATTGCTTCACTTTCATTACGAAACGTCAAATTACCAATATTGGCGAGATCCTGAAATATTAAATTAATTATAATTACTTATTGAATTTCTTTTTTTGTTTTTTAATATCAACAAAACGTACATAAACTGTTTCTATAAGAGCACCCAAGATGCCAATTTTCCGCTGACCTCTCTCAATAATTAATGAACGTTTATATTTCCCTTCCATAGTAGGCTCGTTACTTGAGTTCATATTAGTTACTATTACTGGACTGTCAAGGGTTTCCAGAAAAGGTACCACCCCTTCAACACCATGATCAAATTCATGATTACCTAGGGTCTGTAAATGTATAGAAATTAAAAGAATTCATTTCATTGTATTGTCGAATTCGAGTTTACTATGGCATCAGCCGGTAACATATTCAAAAACTGACTCGTCACATTCCATCGGCCTATATTGTACCATAAAGTCCCCTGAAAATTATCTCCGGCGTTAAGATAAATCGGATTATTTTCCTTTTGCTCCTGCAGTAGACGTTTCACAGTGTGAAACGTACGCGCATATCCACCAATGCACTCCTGATTATTATTGCAAGTTCCGCCATTCTTATCTGTAGGTTCATATCTGAAAATATGAAATAACTTTAACAATGAGAATGAATAATAAATGAATTTACTGCCAATTATGATCTATAACCGCTAGGCGAATATAATAAAACTTTTATTTTTATTCCATTTCGAATATCTAGAAATTGCATTGGTTATGGTTATTGTATTGTATCGAGCTCTTCACTTATTTATTTATTTATCTTGTTTTGTTTTTCATCAGCAAAAAGACAAAATGCAGTTCATGATGATACGAATAAATCCAGAAAAATGTTATTTAGCAAAAAAAAAAATTAATATCATTTTAAAGGGAACATTTTATTGCCTACATTTTGGATTTTCATTGGAATTGTGGAAGATAAGCAAATGAAATATGAAGTCACATCCGCACCGAAGCAAATAAAATCAAACACCAAAAGTTTCAATTGATTTTTTTCCTTACACTATAGCACTCAATAAATTTCCGGTCTAACACATATGTGGCAATAACATGTGACATCACTAAGATAAGTGCAACTTGTAACTTGCTTGTCGGGATGTCATGAAATTTTGCATACGTGCACTGTTTGACGGTTGGTACGCTCTCGAAATTATATGCGTGAACATCGATGCTTTACAGACGTCGGAAAGTAGGCATACTGAGTGATGTATGTATTACGTGTAACACGGAGATGATTGGAAAGACTTGAGAAACGATAAAGCGATAGGGGAGAAGTAGTCACATCCTGTTGGATGCGTGCCAAATCGACAAGGATTATACATTTCCTCGACAGCGTACTCCATTATAGATACGTACGGTCAAGTATAGTCGAACAGCGCTAACATTTCAATCCGCGATTCGCGGCAGCCCAGTTAACCCTTAGCCACGCTTTATCCATAGGCGACATGTGTATTAAAACCTATGCAGAAATCCGTTCTAAGGGCGTATGCGTCAAATTTTATGACCTAGAGGACAAAGGATTTTATTAGCTTTTTTACGCTAGAAAAGTATAATGGGTTTAATATGTGAGCTCTTTGCCAAATTGTTGAATTATGTGTATATGTATATATATATATGTAACACTCTTGTGTTATCATCTTATAAAAAAAGGCTCGAAAATTCGCCATAGATTGGAAAGATTTTAATTTATTTAAAAAAAATGCGCAATTTGAACGCTTCTATGTTATGAGCAGTGGGGGGTTGTGCTTAACATTCTCTTATCTCTAATTGGTTTTTATACCCGTGACCGTCGACTTCGAGGTATATTCATTTTCACACAACGTTTATAAACATCCCGAAGGAACGAAACTTTTAGAGACACTCCAGCAACGGCGGTAATAAATTCTGAATCGATTATTAGCTCGTTATTTTTATTAAACGGCCTCTATTATAAAAAGGTGAATGACTTTGGATTGGCATATACGATGAAGAATTGTTTTGGTTCGCAAGAAGAAGACGACGGCATATGTTCAATGTTTTACACTTTTTTGCTTAAAATTGTTCAATCAAGTTGACCGCGCGTACACATATATATAGTATATTGGATATTTCGTATTTCTTATTCGATTGTCTTTAGATAGTGTTTCTTTAAACGCAACAATAATAAAAAATATATTTATAATCCCTTACAATAAGAAGAGTTTTTCTTAGCAATCGTATAACTAACAAATGCTCGTTTACTCATATCCAGGGAATACGTGCATATAAAAAACAAAAAAAGTTAAAAAAGAAAAAATAAGTATCGTTGGACAAGGACGACCATTCAATATTCTCTTAAACATTTTGCAATGACTTTTCATAAATAATGTACGAAAAAGATGACATTATAGGGTAAGTTACGATTCAAAACCTGTTCAATAAAATTCTTTCTTGGCTCGAAATATTTTCAAAAGATTTCGTTGAAATATTTATGTGGGCGCATATTAATACGGACCGAGGAACAGTCAAGTTTCAATTAATCCAAATAAAATATTTCGAGTTAATCGTTATGACAGAAGTTAGATCTGTTTGAGGTAACTCAGCGCGTTCATCGCATGCATCGTTACAAGCTTAATATATCCATATAAGCATCATGCAAGTGGTGTTGAGTATAAATATAGAATTTATTAAATACTTGTTTTTTTTTTTTTTTTTTTTTTTTTTTTTTTTTTTTCTCAAATGAAAACGAAAAGTCACGTGAAGAGCGGATACACAATAAGCAATTTACTCACCATTGTGTACTTTTCGTCGGACGGAAAAGGCCCTACTAACGAAATCGGGGAAAATCTCATCATTATCTGTTAAAAGTACTTTTCATTTCATATCAAGAAAATCTGTTTTTGTACCGAAAAAAAAAAAATTGACTTTGGGTTGAGTCTTTAAAAAATTGATAATTATTTCTGATGCCCGGAAGGCTCAAGGTGCGTCTATCTGTGCATCTTGAATACATTAATAAATATTTTAAAAATTGTCCTCTACTGGTTTCACATCGTTTTTATTGCTTAAGTAGATTGCTTTAGATCCTTCTTCTATGCAATTACGACCCACTTGCATTGATTGTGTAACGGAATTACTTTATCAATTCAATGATGACGATAGGATTAAATAATAGAAGCTACATTTAAGACCATATATGTAGTTAATTGTAATTTGTACAATTAAAAGGCGAAGTGGACCCTTAAAGTTTTCAAAAGACAAGTCAAGTCGTTTAGTCACGGAGCACTTTGAAATTCCAACGACATACGCAGTTTATCAAAATAACTATGAAAAATTTCAGTTAACAGAGACTTTACGCAAGCTCCCGTTTCATGAAAAATTCCTCATATCATTTTTCGATAGCACTTTTTCGCCTAAACTGAGCCATGTTATGCTCCTGTACATGTGTTACGTGAATATTTAGAAAGAATTGGAAAGAGAGCAGAAGAGTGGGCAAGTGTGTTATGAATTGAATACCGATTGAGCTACAATCACACATCAACTTTAATTAGAATACATATTAGCCTATCGCATTTAAGGATTGAGCTCCGAACTCTTTCGAATTGATAGTTGCTCCTCCTAACTACTGATGACTAATGAGTACTCAAGCAACAGAGTGCAAGAGTGACGCTACAACTTCGAATTTAATGATTGGAATTAAAGTTCTCTGCAAACAAATTATGGCTTATTTTCATGAGAAATTGATTACTCTCGACCCATGGCTTCAAAAGGAGATTATTCAGCTCACCTCACATCTGAGTTATCAGCAGATAAAATTGAAATGAAAATTGTATCCTTATTTATCCCTCTTTTTTCTTAGAAATATTAAAGTTTTATTGAATCGAATTGAATTCGAATCAATTATGTAAAAGGATGCTAACAAAAAAAAAAAAAAAAAAAAAAACTCGATCAACAATCATATGCCTGCCGCCTAAATAGGATCGCAATTCGTTCCCTTTTGGATAATCGTTCTTATGGTTCAAATAAATCATACGTTCGATCATATTTCGTATGTAACCTAACGTAGAGTGATATGATTAGGAAATAAGTCAAAGCAATATAGTAGGCCATGACTGATCATTAAATACCCTACACCAATTAGTTTAATACTGTTATTCAATAAAGCATTGTACGAGTAGTCTGAACCATTTTCAATAGGTTTCATGCTTGAACCAAAACATTGTATACCATAGCATAAAAAGACATTTGCAGATGAACTTAGATCGGATCAGAATCGCAGTTTTTGGTACATTAAAAGGTGCATCTATGTCAAATCTTTCTGAATGTAGTGTGCCTTTGTACATCTAATATATGTAATGTGATGTACATGTTTTCTCTCAAATGTTACATACACATACATATCTAGCTTATAATCTATAGGAAAATGACAACTTTGATCTGATATTATTATTATTAGTATTAATTTTTTAGCCTAAAAGAAGTAAAATGTAGACGACTGTCTTAAAACACTACCATCTAAGGCTATTGGTTTTATTGAAAACACGAGTGCACTTGAGATTTGAATTTACAACAATTGAGTCGAAGGAGACTCTTGCAGAGATCGTTTATTACTTAAAAGCAAACACACTTTTACACTATATATCATATATTTTAAATAACTACAAAAACAAAAAAAAAAAAAAAAAAAAAAAAACAAAAAAAAGAATGAACAAGGCACGAGGCAATTGTTGTGCCCTTTAATAATTAAAATAATTAAAGCAATCACAATTTTTAATTGGCAGCAATACTTACCGTGCATGAAAATCATTTATATGAATTATAGACAAGGGAAACAAATCGCTGCGAAACAATGAACGCGTTAAAGTGAACTGAGGTAATACTAATAAAATAATTAATAATCGGGACGACAAGACCCAAACACTTGTTCTCATTATAGAAAATATACAACTGAGCATATCAATCGATTTGTATTAAATAAAATTAATTTGTTTATAAAATTTATTTAAATTAATTTTTTTTTTTTAATGTTTGAGAAAAACAAAAAAAAAAAAAAAAAAAAAAACAAACAAACAAATAAATTGAAATAAAATTAATTAGTAAATAAAAAACGATTTATGCTTAAATAGTTAATTATGTTAACTGTTAAGTGATCACGTTTAACTAGTCGAAGGTTGAAGGTTGAAAGAAAACAACAAATACACAAAAAAAATATTTAACGCAATTATTTAACTTAATACGCTCGACTAGTTTTTTGTTAAACACAAGACAACACAGCCCAACAACAATACTATAGTTAGATATACTGTTACATTTACTACTCTATCAGATTAACTATATAACGGTGTTTATTAGAGAAACGGAAAGATTGTCGCTGTAGCGTAATCAACAAAAAAAAAAAAAATGGTTTGATAAGATTTCGTTTCCTCTCTGCCTTTCGCATCTTTTGTACACCATTGCAAAAAGAGTTATATTCTTCTACTCTTTTCTTGAATTTCTCTCTATCTCTCTCTCTCTCTCTCTCCTTCTCTCTATTCCTTTCCTCCTTCGCTTTTCTAAGTCTCTCGCGCTCCTTCCTTCTCTGCTTACCCTCTATCTAACACTCATTCCTTCTTTCCCTCTCTCTATCACCACCTCTCTCCCCCTATCTCTCTCTCTCACTCTCTCTCACCCTCGCTCACCCTCGCTCCCTCTTTTAATTCTTTGATTAGTCACGCGTTAAGTAAGTTAATAAATTTAATAAACTGCTGCTTTAATCACATGAACGAAAACATTTTAGAAATTTTATTGAAACGGATTACACGACTCTGGGTTTTTTTTTTATTATTATTATTAGTTTGATAGACCCTGTAAATCGTTACTTGGAAGAAAATTTATTCTTTGAAATTTCGAATTTTTTCTTGTGAATCGAATCCGAAATTATTGCCTGCTAAGGAGTTACGGTTTCCACCTGTTGTGGTGCAAGCGTATAATACCCTGTATTGCGGATGTATGCAACACCCTTGCATAGGACGTGAGATAGAAACCCCCCTGTATTATATCGATCGATTCGGAATCACTTTTGAGATTGGTCCAAGTTTGTCCGTCGGTCCGGCTTATTTTCTTGTGTTCATATGATCGTTTGCATATTCTGTGGTATTTTTTGATGAAACAATATATGGGAGCATATTTTCCCGACCACTTTCTTACTTTGAAAAGTCATTATATCAATAACTGTATTAAGCAAGCTATTGTAGAATATTTAATGGTTGGCCGTATTCCACAATAGTGTTTTTACTTGCTTGTATCTTGTGATTTGTAATTTCTCTAATATTCAAACAGACACTTTTAAACAATGTTTATGTTCATTTAGCAACTTGAACTGACCTTATGACCTGTCACTTTCATATCATCGCTTTTGATGTGACTTTATAGCAAATTTGCTATACCGAGATGCAATATAGTCGCAATTAAAATTTTGCCAACACACAATTTGTTATAAAATGTGTAAGAACATTATACTCGGGCACGACGCACCATTACATACTCTACTCTACTCTACTTCGCTTAATGCAATCAATCACACACCAAAAATTGCACAACATAGTATCTTCAACAACAACAGGCTTTCTCTCCATATAAGGACCAGCTTGTGATGATAAACCCTATTATATATAGACGAGGATTTAAGAAATAGACCTGTATGATCCAAACTCTCTTTCGTCAATTTATTTTCTTAATGTTCTACATATTAAAAGTTAAACCTTATCCTGCAAGGCTTATTTATGAGAAATCTTAGCCATCGGACTGAGAATCAAGAAATAGACTCATATGATTCAAATTTGATCCAATCAATTTTTATGTTATATTATTACCGGATTTTTACAATAAAACATTCTCAATTAAATCTTTTTGACATATAAGGGCCTATATTTGTTGCGAATCCCTATATGCGGCGATATCCTAAAAATAAACCTGAGTTCAGTAAAATTGTTTTCTATATTAATTTACGATTATTACCGAACTTTCACCATGATATATTAAAACTTGTACTTTTTCACCGTATTAATAGTCAGTTTTCGTAGGCACGGTTGTATGAGTGGAGATTCAAAAAAATTGCTTCAGCATATAATGAAAACTGTACTAGGTGAAGCGGTGTAGGATCGGCGTAGCCCGACTATAATATGCTTGCTTGATATTGCTAAATAACTGCGGGATAGTGTAGGATACTTAATGATGGCGCCGTGCACCACTATGTTGTTTTTTTACTTACTTTTACTATTACATAAATCTTCCGTCTACGCTTGACGTAATTGCTTATGCATTTTTTCGAAATACTAACAACTACTCAACTTCCTTAACTTCCTTTTAGGAAACTAGTTTTCAAAGTGCTATCGCGAATGAATTCTTTAATTTAATCTACGTCATCGTCGCCATATAATCGATAATTAAGATTCAATTTAACTTCAAACGGTGCACTGATTTAAAGTGTATGCGATATGCGAATACATTTTCCTCTTTCTTCCTTCTTTCTGAATACTTTTAATTGCTTACTTAAATTTTAATTGTATTCAAATTGACATTCTTTCAATTTCAAGCATTAATCGAAATGTGACCATAATTAGATCTATTGTTAATTTTTTTTATTATTTTTGCAGGGGATATACAATTCGTTTACTAAAGTTTTAAATAGTTTGCCGTCAAATTGAGACAAAACATGCAAACATTATATTGAGAGATCAGGTTTCAAGCTTATTGGTTGACGTGAGAATATCTCGAAAAATAATGAGAATTTCTTTACGAAATTCGGGTATTTCCGACATCAGTGTTATTTTTTTTTTTATCTTTTTTTTTGAGATGAATACAACTGTTATATTAATATCTGATCCGCCTGAGTGGTCAAGTAGGCAAGAGTCTCGACTATCAACTCAATGATCGTGGGTTCAAATCTCAAGTGCGGTAGAATTTTTAATAAAAAAAAGACGATAGCTTTAGATGATAGTGCTTTAAGACTTTTAGTCTAATAATATTAACATCTTATTGAAGTTTCATTTCATTCAGTTTATTAGATGATTAGTTGATTTGACCATCTTCTGTAATTGTCGGAAGTTGTTGTTGATAAATTTTCGCGGACTCGACAAAGTTGATAAAGTGTTTTCGTGAGAGCTTCCCCAATTCAACAAACACTCCAAAGATGGCTGAAGAAGAACCACATCCGGGAAGATCATCAACATGAACAGCTTATCAAGGTATCACAAATAAAAAAAATAAAAATGCACAAGGTTGCATTTAACAATCGTTAATGAAATACTGAACGCGCTTTCTTTAGATATGATTGGGAAATCAAGTAAAACAGTTCAATCCAATTTAGAAAACGATTAGCCTGTTATCTCGTTTATTTTCTCCCCTGTTCGCCTTGAAATAATTCAGTTCCCATTACAAAAAACAAAAACAATGTCGTGTCCAGTGTAGGCTAAAGGGAGCGTTTGAATTGACTTAAATTGAATTGTGACGACATGATAAGAACTTATGTTTACGATCCAGAAATGGCTCAATAGTCAAGCGCGTGCCGTAATAGTAAAGGCAAATGAAAATTGAAAAAATTAGCTTAGAACACATATGACGTCAAAGTCACGTGTTTTCTTACGCTACCGTAAAGTCGTGTTCAAAGTGTTTTTTTCACCGAAAATCAAATAGTTATTAAGGAATAATAAGCAGATATTCGAGGTCCTTGGCGTGATTCTATTCGAGAGTAAGCTAAAAATTTATGACAAAACAATTCCTCGTCTATAGATGTCTTCGCGTGCTGACCTCTTGCAGCAATAGTCAAACAGCAATCATCTCATAAACGTCATATTCAGTTGATATGGTTGTGACAAGTGACTATTTTCTTTTCCCAATCGTTCGTCAACAAATTAAGTTTACTGACTACTTTAAAGGCTACACCAACAAAGTTGACTTAACGAATAAGGTAACAAAGCGAACGACTTGCCGCTTCTATCAGATCTTAATGACACATGTGTAGCAATGTAAATAGCAATAGTTTAGTATTGATCTCAACCACAGATGTTTCTAAGATAATTTATGTTATACTGTAGTCATATCCTTTGACCGATTGACCTGTGTACGAGAATTTCGAATATTTTCTAGTATATTAAATGAAAAAATAATAATACATGTTTTTTGGTTTAACTTATATATGAACGTTTATTTCTTACTCTTTCTTTTGCTGTAGTTGTTATCATATTATTGTTCGGCATAATCATAATACTGATTGATAAGACCGATAATATAATTTATAAGTTGATAATCCATTTTACTGTACTTGGTGTTATTATCTTCTTCACTCTTCTCATCGCTATTTTCTTCACTTTCCTCATCGCTATCCACTTCATTTTCTTCATCGCTATCTTCTTCACTCTCTTCATCGCTATCTTCTTCACTACTTTCATCGCTATTCTCTTTACCCTCTTCACCGCTGGTCTCTTCATTTTCTTCTCCATTAACCTCTTCATTCTCCTCATCGCTACCTTCTCTCTCTTCATCGTTGCCTCTTTTATCCTCTTCATCGCTATTTTCCTTATTCTGATCATTATCGCTTTCTTCGTATCCTTCATTATTTGGGATTCCATCGTCTTCAGTGTTGTTATTGTTTTCATTTTCTCCTTCTTCTCCTTCCTCTTCATTTCCCTCCAATTTGCCTTCCTCTTGTTGCTCTTCATCATTTTCTTCTCTTTCGTTTTCTTCACCTTCGTTTTCTTCGCCTTCGTTTTCTTCGCCTTCGTTTTCTTCGCGTTCGTTTTCTTCAGCACTACTTTCGTTTGAATTTTCTTCTTCGCTGTTTTGTCTCTCGTCTTCTTCAGTATCATTGTTTGTTTCATCTTTATCTTCCTTTTCGTTCTTCCCTTCTAATTCG